AGGTTGAGGTGGGGGCTACACTATGTGGCTAGTGTACAAGGCAGACAGGATGCACACATCCTGTATGGATGATCCGTCTACCAATCACTTCGAGGATATGGAGCGTGATCGCTTGGAGGCTGCCCAGCCATCACAAGATGGTAACTCTGAAGATCGCATCCTTACGACGAGTATCGTGGTTCCCTCAATATCTCGTCACCTATGACACCCACGCAGAGGCCACAGCTAGAATGCCCTCATGACTGTTCACCCAACCGTATTGTTTCCCGAGCAATCATATACGAACAGCAATTCTCACCGGCTTACAAAGACTAGAACTAAAGTACGCGTATTCATGATGGAGACTGCGGCATTTCCATCAAGTCACGAGGTTCTGCATGATCATTGGCATGAATAACTAATCGTGTGGTGTTTGGATCAGAATGCAGTCGGAGGTGATCGAAAAAGGTGACGGCGAAGTCGTGATGTCTGAGAGTAACGTGAAATTCATTATCGCATCTAACAGCCAGAATAACATCGATCACAAACGTCTTGCCTCAAGCTGCCGTCTGGCGCGAAAACTTTCATCTTAAGACTGCCCGACAGGTACTGAAGGGTTTCACTGGGATCAATACGGCCCTTTAGAATGCATACCACGCGGAAACGAGGTACCGAGAATCTGACTCGCATTTTCGACTCGTTTTTGTCTAATTGTTGTTACCGGTATGACTGAGCTCTCTGATACACTAGCCCGGAGTCGTTAGTCATCTCGAGTAAATAGGTCATGTTGGAGCTTTTGAAGATTATACCTGGGCAGATCGATCGGACCCAGGGATAGCCCACACCAGTCTTCCGGTACCGGCATCCGGTATCGAGTTATTCAGTCTAGTGGGGATGTCCTCGCAGCCACCTGTAGGTCACCGAATGGAAGTTGGTGATTACGTAGGGCTTACAATAGGGGACAAAGGGGAGCTCGAGATCTCCTCGGGCGTATAAAGCAACAGAGGTGAAACACGACTTGAGGTTGACCATATCTTCCAGAGCCGTTTCGAACTCACGGCAGTCAGCGACATGCCGGCTGGTGTGTTGTGGCGATGATGACGAACAACCTCCCATGGCTGACGAAGAGCAAAATGGGCTGATAAAATGTCGTTGAGGAATTGCAAGTCTGCGCGAGTTAGCAAGATGTGCACACCCGTTCAACAGTTCTCCATTACAATCAGGTCGACATCGTAATGCTCTCTCGTGCGGCAGCATGTTCGAGGAGGCCCATGATGGCCTCTGTGGTGACACGTCGCTGGAAGTACACCCCAAGCTTTGAAAGAGGTCTCAACCCAGAGTTGACCTCGGGGGACTACGGTGACATGCCCAAGCCTCAACCGCTTATCGACTTCTTCACTCAAGTAAGATCCCTTACCTGATTCGTATCTTCTGTGGTCAACCTCATGATTCTCCTGATGTTCTTTTCTCAGAATCGCAACCCATGGTTCGGATTTGCCATGTTCTGTGGCTTCAACTTCTTATGGTGGGCTTTCTTCGGAGCCTGGGTAAGCTCAACATCATCACCCTACGCACAGCGAAGGATTCTCCCTGCACCCTCCCCCCTCAGCAAATCCGTCCCCTGTGGGCATCTCAGAGGAAGAGTCTGGCGGAGGCGGATCGTCTCTACGGCCCCACTAAATATGGAGTTGGCAAGAAGTACGCGGCCCTTCCCTCAGACGTGCCCGTATTGGTCCCAACAGGTACATCAACTAGTCGTCCATGGTCACTACCATTACACTGGCAGCGAGAGCTGTTAGACTGTTGGGGATCTTATCTGATCTATGATATTTTTGAGGGTATAATGGTTGCTCCTACGCCTTCAACGTGTTGAGTTCTCGCCAGCAGCATCCTGAGTGCTTCACCTGAGTGTACTTCAATACTCTTATAGACCTCATAAGGACTGCTCCTAGAGGACTCCTTATACGTGATTCCATCATGCCAATCAAGACTAAGTTCACTGAGATGTTCGGTGTAGAGAAGCCCATCATGCAGGGCGGAATGCATCATGTTGGTTTTGCCGTTATGGCCGCAGCCGTCTCCAATGCTGGTGGACTAGGTCAACTACTATCACTTGTATATTCTCTAAATCTCCTACAACAGGCACTATCACTGCGCTCTCGCTGAGGACACCCGAGCTGTTGAGGGAAGAGATCAGGAAATGCAAGGCGATGACTGAGAAGCCCTTTGCTGTTAACATGACAATTCTGCCAGCGTTAGTAGGTCTACGACCCCCATTATCAATTTAGGGACTCGCCTCAGGTCCCTCCTAATTATCAAGCATTCGCCGATGTGGTGGTGGAAGAGGGCGTGAAGGTTGTCGAGACGGCCGGCAGGAATCCCGCGGAGTTTATCGAGTTTTTCAAGAAGCACGACGTTAAGGTGACTGCTGACATTCAACGTGTGTTGTTGAGGTCTCCATAGGTCATCCATAAGTGTACCTCTATAAAGCATGCCATGACCGCTGCTAGGGCTGGAGCTGATATGATATCCATGGACGGCTTCGAGGCTGGTGGTCATCCTGGAGAGGACGATGTGCGCGAGGAGTGGTATGTTAAGTTGATGGTTCACTCAGGTTACCAATTGGACTCTGTATCCTCTATCGCTCCGAAAGTTGCCGATACCGTTCATAGCATCAGGAGCATGTGGCACTGCTGAGCACCTAGTGGCCGCAATGGCCATGGGGGCACAGGGCATGAACATGGGCACTAGGTAGGGGTGCTTTTGCCCTATCATTGTCAGAAGTCACATTAGGTTTATGGCCACTAAGGAGGCTCCGATTCAGCAAGGGATTAAAGATGCTCTTGTGAATGGTGATGAGAAGAGTACAACTCTCGTTATGCGAACTTTGAGAAACACGGAGAGGGTGTACGCCAACAACACATCGCGGAAAGTAGGCGTCCTTATATAGGCGGCCATCGATGTATGAGCTTTGATGAGGTGCAAAACATAGAGAAGGAGAAGCCGGGTGATATCAAGGCTATTCTCCCTTACATCAAGGGTGACAACTATAAGAAGAGTTTTCATGAGACTGGTGATTCCACTAATAGCGTCTGGAGTTGTGGCCAAATCATCGGTCTTATCGATGGAGTGAGATTACTCCTGGCCATCTGTGCTTGTGAATATGACCTCTCTAGGTGCCCTCGTGCCAAGAGCTGTTGGACACTATCGTCTCAGATGCGGAGGCAATCATTAGGGACAGACTGAGTGCCCGAGTAACGTCAATTTGGGTTTGCATGATATGCACGAATATTATATTAGGTGATTCCGTCCTCCAAGTTGTAGACATTCTCATCATCGATTTGTTTCACGTGTTAGCTGACATTTATAGTTTCCATGTTACGATATTTATTCCACCAGAAGTGTTTTGTTGGCTAGTAATCTCGAACGAGGGAGGCAAATTCGATCCCTACAAGCCCTGTCGGCTGAACTCGTTTGTTACTTCGAGGAGAACTAGGGAAAAATTGTTCTGAAAGCGAAAAGGAATGGCTTCTTTTTGATTGACAAAACGATTCTTCTCGTGATCGCAACGAGTGAGAGAACATCTGAAGCACTCGAGGGGATGTTATCTCCGAGGGAAACGGTGAAAATGTAGAAGTTTTTGCAAGCGCTGTGCTATACTTCGTGTGTAAAATGGGAATACTGTGGCATACCGCAGCGAACTCAACGGAACCAGATGGGAAACGCTGAACGGAAACTTTTTGAGCATGATCATCATGGATTATCATCATTCGAGCCGTGCTGCTTCGTCACACTTTGAGGGTTCTTGAAGTATCTCTTGTTGACGCCCATCATATCGACTTCCCAAGACACCTGCTCTCGATGCCGCATTTGATAGCAGTTATGTGATAGAACGTAATTAAGGAAGTTCATCTACAAAGAGCAATACGACTACACATAACAACCACGACGCCCTACGTCGGCTTCGCTGAAATATCCCTCACATCCAGCATCAACCTCATCCCAGAGAGGCTGTCGCTGCTGCTGCTGACCGTGGCTCTCCAATGCATTAAGGGTGGCAATGAGCGCTAACGACGCCTGAGGGAATTCTGGTAGAGGGGGAGGGTCCGTCCCTGTCTACTTTCCATCTATCGGTCTTCTTGAGGTGATCGATGTCATTAAGACATTGTCTATGCCATAACGGTAGAGTATGATATCGAGTCCGACGTGCAATCTGAGTGGTCCACCAGAGGGCCGGTACGGCTCCACTGACCGCAGCTGATGAGAGTGACAGTATCACCGACCACCCCGGACGGAGGCCTTACACGAGGATTCCTTCACGGCCTTATTGACTTCCTCCTCTACCGCCATAACCAGGGAAGTATCGCTGGGAATTCGCAAAAGCTCCAAGCCCATGGAGAGCCGCACAAGATCAACCTAGGAGAAGTAGTGGGGGGAGTCTGAGTGTGGTCCGACAGGACCTACCACTTTCACTTGGCGGTCGAGTTGGTAGTTGTCGTGACGCGGCTGTGCTGATATCTCGAGACTGCGAGACACGTCGAGTTCCGATACGCTCCTCCTGACCGCTACCGACAACTGAACAACATCACTATCACTAGCAACTAGAGGTTCTGCTACTTCGACGGTCTTGTCTGGCCACTGCTGGTGGGGATACTCTCGCGGTATTAATTGAAGTCTTGAGAGAACACCAAGGGAGAATATCTGAGTGTATGTACACTAAAATGAGTCCAGAAGAAGGGCGTTACCGTGTTGGCTTTCATCCTGACATCATCGTCCCTCACCAAATCATACAGGCACCATCGGGCGAGCTCTTTCAGGTCTTCACTCGTTATGGTTGTCAGCACCGCTGGAGGTAACTCTGGCTGTAAAGCCAGCAATGCTATGGTGTATCTGCAGGACGGGTCCACGAGACCCAGTCAGTGTTGGACCCCACAACAAGCGCCGCTTTCCATGAGCAGACAGAGAGGGACGGGTCTCCGACTGAGGACGTATTGAAGACCTCCTCCTCCCTTTGACGGTTGATGCCTTCGTAGGGCTGACCGAACAGCTGAGGGCCGTCTGAATATCAAATTCAACACTGCAGACGACGAGTGGTCAGCCATACTGGGAGGAGCGAGACGTAAAGACCGGCAGCCGCACGTTGAGCCTTTTGGTACTTCCCCTCGGGGTCACTGCCAAATGACGTCATATTCAGCGTATCTCGGACCTGAGTCGTGATGGAGCTGAACTCAGTCAAAGACGACGACTGCCCACGTGTATTCCAATTGTCACCAACGCATGGCAGGCCGCGACACAAATGTCAGGGGTGAAAGCTGACAATAACGAATTCAGACTACGTCCAGGGAGGCGCTCACTTTCCCGTGGTCTGGATAGCGCAGTCGATGATGAGCCGAGAGCGTTGCCATTAGTAGTATAACTCCGTGCCCTGCTATAGAGGTCCAGGAGCCTTTCGGCAAATTTAGTAAGAAAAATATGGTACCTGACGGGACCTGCTGGAAACTCTACCATCATCCGTGGAATTTCACCTCTTCACTTGAGCGTTGCACTGTGAATGAGTAGCCATTATATCGAGGACCTCCACGAGGTCCCATACCGTCATTCGAGACAAAAGCGGCCGCAAGTCCTCCTCAGGAGCGTCAGTATTGCCCGCGTCGTCAGTACTCACCTGGTAGAAAAACGATGCAGTTACTCACAGTTTTAGTTAGGCCTGACCATGAAGCCTTCGAGGGTTCGAGTCCATGCCACTTTAGAGGGGTCGTGATTTCTGCAGCAGCGCACTCGTCACGGTTCATTCAAGAGGGGAGCCTTACCTCGCAGTCATACTCTTGATTTTGTTCAGGAGCCGACTTATGAGTTCTCTATTGGTTACGACTGTTGTATCTTCCACAGTTGGATTGAGTTGCTCTGAGCCGGCTTTCCGTGCCATAGAAGCGGCGCTTCGGTGAAGCAGGGGACGTCCTGTCCACCTCAAAAGTCCTCGAGCAGTGGTCATACAAAAGGAAACTCTAACAACCCGGTAGTTCGTTGACACTGCCAAGTTAGCAGTGGAAAGTTAGCGACTACACGTAATTGTCTTCTTGCCGCTTTCTCTATGGCAAGGAGTCGGGTCGAAGACTAAACGGTGCGACTGGAGTCCGCAAGGAGCTGCGTGCATCCTGTTCGGCTACACAACTGATTGTTGAGACCTGTTCGATCAGTAGTCTCCACTTCCTGTGAGATTCAGACTACACCAATTTCAACATCCGCGGTTTTGAGCCATCCGGAAGCCTCAAAGCTTCAAATTCAGCATTGACTGATACGTGTACTGATGTATTCAAACCATCTCAAATACCGAGAAGTTAGGACCTATTGGATGCTATGTTAGTTGCTTCCAAGTTCACTCGTAATGAGTTCAATCGGCATCCACTCGTGTGCCGATGTTGTCGACATACGCATGCGTGCTTTGTGCTTGCGTGCAGGGCCTATTTCACAAGCTATCGCAAGGTGCAAAAATGATAATTTACGATTCGTAGAGTGCGTTACGATTTTCGCACCTTGAAGCAGTAAGGCTCTCTGATAAGGTCACGATACGATTCGGAACGCCAGGGTTAGTTGAAGGACAATGAGGAGCCTTAGTAAGGCTGCCTTACCTTGGGGCACCGACGACTCTAACGTGCACTTCCGCACGTGAGGTGATTCTGTAACGGCATTTTTGGGCCCCCACCTTCCATACGATCATTCAGGATCTTATAGAAGGTAACTCTGTAAGTATCTTATAGCACCCTACGCTCCTTACCTCGGCTTTCTTATTCCTTCGCTCCGCTGAGATTCACTGCCCAATGTGGTTCCTGCGTGTGATGCTCAAGAACACGTTGCCATGTCAAGTGCTTGACGCACCTCTTACTCTCTAGTGGTCTCAATATTGAGTTCAAGTCAAGGTCTTCGGCTGATACTGGTGTTAAGTTAACACTTGTGACATGTTTCAACCCAATACATGATGTCGTTGAATAACCCAATATCGACGTTCCAAGGAATCGAACCCTAGTTAACCTCCTGATGACCAGTCACCCGGGTTAACCACTCCACTACATTCTCTTGTAATCTCACAATCTCGCTACGGTTGCCTTTGAAGGCTTAGTATTTTCGTGGTGCGTGACGAAGAATACGTGTAGGGCGACGAAATCAAGACAGTTATCTTATCTTCGTCAAACTTTCAGTGCAGTGGAACTCAAACAGCATTCGTATGGAAAGGTGACGCTCTGGATCGAGCCGTCAGTGATTGTTGTGATATCGACTAGAGATGAGTCCACTGCAATGACTACGCGGAGCAGCGGATATTCGCCAGATGGCAGCTGCCGGCTTGTGCCGGCTTACGCTGGAGATAGCTCTGGAAACCAATCGAGAGTGTAGTTGATATTATCAGCCTGATAGAGTTTTCACTGAGACCATATCGATAATCACGAATGAGACGAGTCTTTGTAGTACTACGTCAGATGAAGCATCTGGGGACGTCGCGTCCCGGACGCGGGCAACTGGAAAGATGTTATTGGGTGTAGCGATGATAGTTTCACATTCCAACGAATTGCTCGTAAGATATATTTTTCCATGAACTATAATACTTGTATGAAACACAAGCGGTGGACTTCTGGAGTATAAGTCATTCGCGAGGCGAAGATGAGTTGATAGTTCGGAAATAAAGTAAAAAGTGAGTCGCCAGCTCAGCTGGTCCAACATCATCACAACATCTGATGTCAAATCACATACTCATATTATGAGTCATTATTAATAATTTATACGCGGATTGAAAATAGATCACGGAAAGTCTACGGATCTTCGCAGACTTTTCCGCAAAGTCGGGAAAGGTCCGACTGACTCGGGGGTAAGTCGGTAATCATTGAGACCAAATCTTGATGAGAGCAATCTTCTACTTTTTAAGTACTTCTCGTACAGCCGCCTCAGCATTGACGCGGCCGAAAGCGAGAAACTTCTCCCCTTCGCTATCTATCACACCTCGCGTGGCCGTATTCTTGATGATATTTCGAATATAAGCTGGGGTCAGTTTAGCATGCTGAGAAGGTTCAAGACTATAGAGTGCTCCGGCCATACCTGCTATGATGGCCGCGGCCCCTGAGGTACCTGTACCCTTACTATACTTTCCAGTAGTAGTAGTTGCCAGTATTTGGTAGCCAGGAGCGGCGATGTCAACAGCTGAACCAAAATTGCTCTCGTCGTCCAGCTGCATTCTTGTACCATTTGTCGCAGCCACACATATAACACCGTCCGAATAGGGTCCGCGGAGGGAACAAGGAAAGTATTCTTCTATGTCCAGATCTAAGTGGTCATTTCCTGCCGCCACAACAACTAGCATGCCAGCTGACACTGCTTCGAGAATCTTCTTCAACTCTGATTGATAGTAAGTTTTGGAGCCTTGCCCACACACAATTACCTTCACATCTGGCCTCTTAGAAATGAGGTAGGTGAAAGCATCAGTCATGGCTCTGGAAGACGGCTTGTCGCCTACATAGATAGGCATGACACGGAGATGGTCGGCAATACCCGCGATACCAATTTTGTTATTCCTGATAGCACCGAGAATGCCAGCCATCATAGTTCCATGCGGTCCTCGAGGATGGGTATCGGCATTCTTATCAATAACGTTATAGCCCTCAGTGACGACCCCTTGCAAGTCGGGATGATCGGCTTGCACGCCATCGTCGATAACGGCGATGGTTACAGGTGTCCTCTGTGAAGTAGAGTCGAGGATGTTCCAAGCCTTTGGTACAGAAATGGCCTTCAGATAAGCCTTCTGTAGGGGATAGTCTTCATCGTTCGGATCGCCGATTGGGTCAAGACCACGGAAATGGTCCGAGCCGACCACTGCAACTACGACGTAGATGAGGCCGTACAGAACGAAATAGAATGTAGCCATAACGACTCTCGTTGATGAAGAAGTAAGCGGGGCGATATGACGTGACGTCGCGTCACACGACGTACACGCGACTCGCGTGTTGACGTGAAGGTCCTTCCGTGTCACGGAAGGACCTGATTCACGTGACGTGAATCACGTCATCCGGACCCACTGTAACTCACAGTCTGTAAGGATACTCCACTCTCCGCTCCGCTCTTTGTGGTGACTCACTCGGGAACGCCCACTAGGAACACAAGACTCACTAAGGACTGCTGGTACGGTATCAGTCGAGACGGGACTGATGAAGGCGGTAGCAGTGTGCACAGAACTAGAATGCACATGCGTACGCCACAGCTAATATCGATCAGAGACTTATATGTGCGTCGCTCCGCTGGACTCCACTACCCACTACACCCTTCGTGAACGCCGTCAACGTCCATAGCGTGATGGATACATCGCATTTAATTAGCTCACGATAATATTCAAGGGCATCACATACTTATCCTTCTTCTCGTCGCGTTGTTAGTATTGTTGGAAGTTCCTTGCGCGGGCCTTGGAGTTCTGTTTGTGCTGTGCACAAAGACAAGCACCAGACCAACGTATCTTCGTTGAAACTGCCACAAGATACTCGGCATGAAAGACGAACTAATTAACTACGTACTTCTCTGCTCATTCATCTCATGGCTCTTGCTCTAAACAGGCTCCAGCTTGGAACCCCAAGGCCCGCGCAACAGCACATCACGGGAGTGGGGGGACTTGATGGGACCCGTCAGACGGGTGGTGTTCGCGCACTCCCCGCCGCTCGGCCCGTCCAAGCTCGGCAACGGCTCACTCGGCTCGACTCGCGAGATTTAGGCGAGCCGGGAGTCCCGGCTCGGGACTCGGCAGTACTACTGCCGCAGTAGACAGTAGAGTCTTCAATACTCTGAGAGTGGTCTCGCGTTCTCCCTTAGAGATTGAGTTCTGCCAGCGTGAAGGAAATAACCCTCGGTGTCCTATGTTGAACTTGAGAATGCGACTCTCGGAGATTCTATGTCGAAATTATCAGCTGAATAGTATATCGAGTAAACGTAAAGTGCTGCACCTTAAAGCAGTAAGGCTCTCTGATAAGGTCACGATACGATTCGGAACGCCAGGGTTAGCTGAAGGACAATGAGGAGCCTTAGTAAGGCTGCCTTACCTTGGGGCACCGACGACTCTAATGTGCACTTCCTCACGTGAGGTGATTCTATAACGGCATTTTTGGGCCCCTACCTTCCATACGATCATTCAGGACCTTATATAAGGTAACTCTGTAAGTATCTTATAGCACCTTACGCTCCTTACCTCGGCTTTCTTATTCCTCCGCTCCGCGGAGATTTACTGCCCAATGTGGTTCCTGTGCGGCGGTTCAAACCCGGTGCAATGGTTTTGACTCTATCACCGATTTTTGCTACTTTCTACTGATAGGAAGTACTTCAGACGTATATGTACTCGCCATATTCTGTTGGCTCCTTCTTATGATAGGAAGTAGCACTCTTCCTATCTTGGTGTCTCCTCTCTAGTCGATTGTGGCCAATACTATTCTGTTCCATTGGGGACTGATGTTGAATAGACTTGCTATATGCAGCCTCAGCTTCATTTCCATCGGTGAGGGTTGATGATAGTATCCTCAGCAATGTCTTGATCTAGTTACCCTGTCTACCAATAGTTACGGAAAGGGTGTTTTTTGGCAAACTCGTGAGGAATTTCATCGGTGTCCAAGTCGGTGATGAATGAGATCCTTGTGCGACTCTGACAAATTCATTGATGAATCAGTGAGTGGACTTTCAGTCAGTTATGTGAAACGTGACGGAGTATATGACCGTTTTGCGAGCTCCCGAAGAGGTTCCCTGTCAAACTTTCCTCATAAGCAGTTCAACGAAATCAGCACGAAGTCTCGATCATAGCAAGTCTCCTCACACTGACAGAGAGGTATGCCACGCATCCTTCCTCCTCGCCGAAGGGTGGTGGCCAGTACAGACCGACTCTATCTGGCGTTTGTATATGGTGCAACTTTGTCAGTGAGGCATCAGATTCTTGGCTGGCTCGCTCTTTCTCTTTTCCTCTGCGAACTCATTATTCCAGACTTGCATCTCCCTCACATGTGAGTGGTCGGAGAGTTTACTCAAAATCAGCTTGATCACCAGCATGCCATGTCTATTGCCCACTACGCGCACGAGAGTCGCAATGTACGCAGCATTGTTCATTCTTGCATTTATAGCGGCAATCGGTACTCTCAAAGTGATCCCAGTGAGTCTGTTCTATCAAGAGGATCAATACCCCCACGTCTGTAGGTCTCCATCGATCGCGTTACGTCACATCTCCCTGTACTGCAGTACCCTACCCAACGAGGTGAGTCGATCGAATTAATAAACTTTTACAATCTCAAATTCAGCAAGTGAAAGAACGAACTAGATAGGTGAGATTTGATTATCGTTGAGTGAGAGGAGTTTCCACGGAATGAAAGTTCAAATTCGAAATGAGATTTATGAATTCGGAAACAAAAGTTCAAATTCGTCGAACACAACACCAACTTCGAGCAATGAAAGCTGTTGCTATCGACCACTTCTACAGCCAGTCTTCTATATTAGACCCGGAGAGTTCTTCCCACCGTATATCCTAGTACTCGCAGCACCCTGTGCTCCATCAGATCCCGAGCCCAAGGAGCCAGAGCTCGGCCCTGTGGTGGCGATGACGAATTCAGGAAATCTAGACTTCGCTATGAACTGGCTCAACTCCCTCCGGAGAGTGGGCGTACGCGACTGGCTTATATTCGCTACTGATGATCGAACGGCTCGGCAACTCCAGAGAAAAGTTGAGTCGGCCGATGTCGAAAAGATACGTCGAATGCCGGAGTCTCTGTATAGTGGGAAGGACGATAAGAAACACCATCAATATAGGAGCGCTGGGTGGACCAAGATGATGCATTCTGTGCCTCGTCTACTCCGCTGGCTTCTTTTTGAAGAAATAAAAGGGGCAGTTCTTTACAGCGATACCGATATCGTCTGGCTCGAACACCCATATTCGGCTTTCCCAGAAAACACTCGAGCGTAGCATTCTGGAGACTATCACGTGGTCGACTTGATGCATGCCAGGTTCGATCTAGTGGCATCAGTTGATGGTAGGGTGTTCGAGAACGATCCCACTGAGTGTCCAGAGGCCGACAGTTTCTGTGGGGGCCTCATGTATTTGCAAAGAAATGACCGAGTTGCCAAGTTGCTCGATAATTGGGATAAGGAGATTGCGAAATCGGTAAACGCCGGCGTAGGCCTCGCTGATTCGTTCGAACCAGAGCCATCTCTATGAGTTACAGACTCGTTATCGGCCTCGTTTAGGATCCCTAGTGTGCTCGATTTGTTATCGACGATAATCGTCGATTTTGATCCTATCTAAGCATACCTTCACAAATTGAAAAACGAGTCCCACATCCCACCTCGCCAAGCTAGTCGGGATCGGGAAAATGTCAACTGTCAAGCCTTGTCTAGCACTATTTGCTCTTTTCGGCAGCGGGTAGCACTGACGAACTTCGTAACTACATGTACAGCATTTTCAAGTCAAATTATCTTTTTACCGATAAGTTAAATTTTTTACCCATTTGGTTAATGTTTGACCTCTTTCGTTAACATTTTACCCATGGTTTTAATAAATTAAACTCGTAAACTTTCAAATAAACCGGGTATTGATTCTGTGGGTGCTTTATTGAAGCCATTTGTAACATGTCAACGAAAAAGGTAAAACTATAATCAAATGGGCGAGACATTAAATTTGTTGGTAAGAAATTAGTTTGACCTGGAAATGCTGAGGAACTTAACTCTGGCACGGTACGATATAATCGTCTGAGGAAATCTACCATCATCGTTATCATCATTCGTCTCTATCGCGTTCTGTGCATCCGGCAGAAGGCGTGTATCGTGGTACACGATTCGCATAGGGGATGTCATCTCAGTGTCCTGTACAGCCTTCGTAACCGGTTCGAGTCCTCTCGGACTCCCGTTTGCTGATGGGCCTACGAAGTTGCCCCGAACTCTCCAGAGAATTTCACACGAATACTTTTTGAGGGCGAGCAGCCAATCGCACACATCTCTCCTTCATTTCAGACTGACGGGAAGAATCAACCTGCTTATAACTCTGCTATCTCGAAGACTCGGCAGAGTGCTGGCTTGAAAGTGCACACCCTCGACTGCGCGGCGTACGTGAATGGCTGGCGAGCTTTCTGTCCGGAAATCGCCTCCCGAAAGGAAAAATTCACATGCAAATTCGACTGGAGTAGTTATCAAAATCGGAGCCCAGTGATGATACATGCAACGTACACTGTTGGGAAGGAATTGAAGATTGAGCGATTGAAGAAACTCGGTTTGTGGAACCCGTACACTATGCTGATGTTGTGTTGAACGCAGTTCAGTGAGGAGCAGCTTGCGCGGTACACGCATTTCATACAGCATGGAATGTGATGAGTTCTCTCTCTTATCTTAGCGGTATGGATGATAGAGTTCAGAGGACTGCTAACGTATCGTTACGAGCAGGCGCACGATCATTTCCCCTCCTACAAGTCTGCGGTACTTAGTACCGTAGAATACTGCTTCACCGGGCTAGGGGTTGGCACTTGCATGAGAAGTTCGGGTTTTGGCTTGATCAGGAATGAAGACGTAACGTTTCAGTTATCCGCCGCGAAATCAATCAGCTGGGCGCGCGCTACTTTTAGTGACACAATCTGGAAGTCCCAGGACTCGTCAGCTTGCACAACCTTGTCAACCCTCAACGTTGAGAATGTTACCGTGATACCGTCCATTTTACCGTGGTGGGGTATTCCGCTCTCTGAAGACTGGTGCTTGACGCCATAGCAGCAGTCCAGACACGAGGACCACCTCGACTAGCTCAGGACCTTGGTTCGATTCGGTGAGTGCCAGCCGGCCTAAGAGCGATCTAAGCGAGTAATGCTGCGGTCGACGAGAAGTCTGACAGCAGATAATTGGACCTAGTTCGCTGTATGAGATTGCTGGTTGTTTGGTATACAATGTTATGCGATAACTTGCTTTCTCATAGGACTTCACAAACACATTTCAGCACAAGGCTTGGAAGAATACTTTGTTATTTTGAAGATCTCCTACGTCGGTTTTGAGCGGGTTGTTATTCATTGAACGGGCTATGCAAAACTGATGCCCAAATTAAGAAGGGGAGTCGACTGGTGATGGACTCGCGTATGTGGCATGCATGCAGTAGTGAGTCTCGTCGCTCCCCTGTATGCGTAGATGCGGCTCGCTGACTGGAGCTTATTACACTTGAATGATAGATCTCATTTGCACCAATTCCTGGTGCATTGCATCTCCCATATGGTTAATAGTAATTCCCCCTTAGTGCAAGACGTATATCTATCAGACCATATGAGCATGCGCGTTCTCAATTCACCTCCCCCTTCATTTACTGGGGACTCCCCAGTGGGGAGCGTGATGAGTGGTAAACGTGTACAGCAGCACGCAACAGCTGCAGGACAGCGTGCTGGGCCCACTTAGGTTTTCCACGTGTTCCGTATCGGAAATGTACATAAGTTCCTCCCCATCTGGAGGGATGTAAACGTACGCGCTCCTATAAGCAGTTGTTTCCTATGAGTAACGACCCTCGCGAATAATGTTTAATGTCATCCAGTTGAAGTTGGGTTAGTACTGTTCCAACGATTACATCAGTAGTTACATCATGTCGTTGGCTGGCCATTTATCCACCGACCAAATAGCCGAGGCTAAGGAAGCGTTCTCGATGTTTGATAGGGAATCTGAGGGAGGTAATTGGTGTTAGAGATGGTATTCATCCGTTTCGAAGGATCGTCTTAGCTGACGCAACGTGGAGCATTATATTTTTAAGCGCAAGATTAATGACTAGGCTTGCCGGGAATACTAACCCGACATTCAGTCGAGATGGTATTCCATTGATGCGGATTTTTTCTTATTCGCCTCTGATAATGGTGGCGTGAAATCTTCGAGGGGAATTTTTACTCTCGTGAACGGTGGGACCCGATTTGGCACTCATCTTCCCAAAGTAACGTTGTTATTACAATACGATGGATGCTCTTATAGCCGGTGTATTTTCTAGGCATCGGTAGAATTCATAAATCTGTAGTTGAACTCAGTTGACGTTGAAGCCTCCGTTTTCTAATGGGGTCTTCAAAAAATTATTTTCGTTCCGATATGCTGCAGCTCTGCAATACCACTCCATTCGCAAATCCTCTTTTAGAGATTCCTGTGGAGGAGCTTTCGACGGTGTTGAGGTCTCTGGGGTATAACTGCACAGCCGCGACTCTCCAACAGATGATTATTGACGCCGATCCTGAGGAAACCGGGAAGGTCCGTTTGTTACCTTCACTGCGCCACGAAATTATTGTCGCTGTTCAGATTTCGGAAAACACTTTTCTCCGTCAAGTTTCTCGAGCTGAGCACGAGTCAATTCAAAGCTCGGCGACGGCCGCTCAACTGGAGGGACTTCGGGTGGGTTCGGACTTATACTGTCGACGTGTATTTGTCGGCTAGGACGGTACTCGCTTTTTCTTCGATGGCAAATCTCCGGGAGATATCATCAAGTTGAATGAGATGGGAGACGACTCCATACCAAGCGACAGCCTTCTATATGTGTTGAAAAACATTGGAGAGAAGTAACGAGAGTAATGATCACATCTAAATGGTGTGAGGGGGTTCATTTAGGCTCAGTGATGAGGAGGCAGCTGAGCTCGGTCGGGAGATCCGTCAGCAAGAGCAGCAGCAGGCTAAGCTGGAGCAGTCTACGGCGAAACGAAATTCAGCGATGCAAGGCAACATTCATTTCAAAGATCTCCTCAAGGCTCTCGGTGTGGCACCTAAGGCGCCGGCCAAGGCCGCTGAATCAGCTGCAGTATAACATTGATAGAATCATTCATTTTCTGGATAGTTGAGTATTGGTTGAAAGTGTATGGGGTGGGAATCGAACCGGGGACCTCCAGTTACATGATGAATGGGAATGAGCGCCCAACTACTGGGCTAGGCCTTGGTGATTATGACTCTTCTGATTCCGAGACCGAGGTTGTCGAGCAGCCTGGCCAGGGAGGGAAGAGAGGCCGATCGCCTCGAGGGGATGAAGGAGAGGCGGAGAAGTTGAAGAGGATAACCTCGTCTGGTCGGTGGTGCACTCCAGAACTCAATTCGACTACTCTCTTTCCCCTCAGGGACTAGCGTGGCAGCTGCCAAGAAGATGCAAGGAGGTTCTGGCGACGACACTATGATGAAGCTTCCGAGTGTTGATGATCTGTTGGGAGGCCGCCGGCGGCTCGTTGCTGACGCTCCACGGGCGCAGTCGTCAGTTCCGCTTCCTCAGCAAGCAAAGGCAGTGTTGATGATGCCTCCCCATGTAGATTGGGAGGGGGCATGACAGATGAGATGATGATGGTGGTATTAGGTACGTATGAAGGTGTCTAATGTGGTGACGGAGGATCAATACGCTCTAGGGAGGCGATCGTCGTAACTTTTAGAAGCACTACGTATTGTGTTGTAGTAGTGGACAGGGAAAACTCTTGCTGGAAAAGGTCGTGAATTCTTGAACAAGAAAGAAAGGTTAGCAACAACAACAACGAAACCGGACGTCATGTCGTTCTAGCAAAGTCATTGAAAGGCAACTCCATAGATTGTCGATATCTGATAATACATGTTTCTAGAGGTACAGTCACAGCTGGAGTGGATACCTATTTCATAGAGCGTTGTACCATAGAGCATCAGCTTGCTTCAGAAGCAAGGTGGTGATGATGTATGCGATGCTAGAACCACATCCATAATCACTCTGTCCCCCCAACCCGGTTTACTAATGACGACCATCTTCCTAGGTAAGAGCAGGACGAGAGACTTCAGCCAAAACGATTGATATAGGAAACCTAGCTTTGAACTCATCCACAAAAGCCTCGACGCCCTTGACTAACCCAAGGCTTATTGAGCGAAGCGATGAGTTGACGCATGGCCTAAATCAACAAATAAGTGAAATGCCATACACCACAGTTCTCATCGCTACTGCCCTCACGAGCGCAAACTGACAACCCGAACATCGTCTCGAGAGGGAAGAAAACGGCAATTTATCAGCTACATGCTGGCATTAGTCGGGAGCATGGAGTTCATCTCCGCCATCATCTGTTATGATGCCTGGAACGCCAGAAAAGATGAGAATACGTAAGTAGGTGAAAAGGTCACCTAAATAGCGGTCAAGTTCTGCGAGATCCATATCTTCCGCGACTCGGTCCGGGACAATCGTATATGTTGTACCACCTTGAGGAGCTTTCCTCGTTCTCTGCCGACGACCCTTGTGTAAATCAATAGTAATAACCGAATACCTCGGGAGGAAGTCCGACTTTACTGATTATGGCCCCCCACCGCTCTAGTCTGCAAACTGATTGAGATCGCATCCAGTCGACATGGCCTATCATGAAGCTGTGATACGAACTGTCTGTTCGCAGATCCAGACAACACGGTCGGCCGAGAGCCGCGAGAAATAACAGTAATGTTGTTGTTAGGCTCACCAGTTGAATTGCCTCGCACTGTACTCGCAGTGCCTGGCCGAGCTTCTGGGGCAACCGAGGGCTCGACAGTCCTTATGTTCACACAGTCACTACTGAGGCTCTCTACCATATCACACTGACAGAGTCTCTCAACCGTCACATTTTCATACGTTCAAGAGGAACACAGTCGAGATCAGGCTCAGTAGTCGTCATATTGCGGCTCTCAAATGTATGCCCACCGCTCAGAGGGCGGCGGCGGGGGCGACTCGATCTTCCGACAGAACTTCCTGGCCGAGAGCTCGGTACCAATCCTACAAATTGTGTAACACTCTTTTGTACTCCGTATAATAGGCGTTATCATTGGAAGCGAAGAAATAACTAGTTCTCTGTTTTTGGCAAATATCTAGAGTGGGTGAATTTGAGGTAAATGCTATACTGAATATAGCGTAGTTCAGCATACCGCTAACTGTGGGACTTTTGTACAGCATTGGATGCGAGAGGCTGCCCACCCACGTCGACTTGATACAGTTGAAGAGGACCGCTGGAGTTGCTTCTTCGCTAAGCTCTTCACTGGAAGGCTGTTGACAATAAGAAAGGATCCCGGAGAGACCTCGCTGGGGTCTTTTTTGGTGCTACCTGCAAAGCCAGAGTAAACCAAGCATATTAAACATTGAAGCACACAGAGAGAGAACCGCTTAGCATTAGAGCGGAACAAAACGAGGACGAACGACCCACCGGCAGGAGCATGAGCCGTCTTGGGCCGAGCCCGGCCCGACTTCAGTGCTGATCCCTGAATGGGGGTATCCTCATTTTCACAATACTGTCGCCTCACTTTCACTCCATGATAAATCCAAGGGTGCTCAGATGCACTTGCTAGGAGCTCTGAGCTTGCCCTTTGTCGGGATAGGGAAGCTGCTGATCCCGTAATGGAGAGCTCAGCACAGTTATTCCCTAGAGGAGTGTCGCTATCGTTGCCTCCAACCAGTGGTGATGGGATTGAGACCAACTGTCGCTTCCGTTCTGAGCGATACGACCATCGGTTATATCAACTTCATATTTCTTGTTCTCACGAGGGCAGGCACGACTCGCTTGCCTTAATGCGAGGCATCCGATATTTGTGTGATTTCAGAGCGCATAACATTGATTGTTGATAGTAATTCGACGGTTCGAATTCTCACCCGCTTTCTGTTTTAGCCTTAGATTTCTATACAACTTCATTGAACTGCTATCGAGACCATAACCCTTTTTCGCTTTGACTTTATCCGATGGTATTTCACATGTTAGTTCAGTCCGGTTGACAGCTACTCCACGATTCTGAAAACACACTCTGGCCTTTAACAAACTGAGAACTTCTAGGATCGTTTCAACCGGAGAGTCAATGCTCTATAATGTTGCAAGTTCTACGGAAAGCCATAGAATGATGCACAACGGAGTTTCACCAATTTTACGTGGAGTGGCGTAATACTCCGTGAAAAACCCGATTTTCGCTGTATATAGAAGTCGTGAAATATATATATTTTACTATGTTTTTTTGTCTCACGGGTGAAACTCCAATGAGTTGTATGGTGACTCAGAAGCAGATCGTCTGTTTCTCACTCGGTGAATAGCTAAGCTGCTATTCGGTCGTCCCACATCTCCTCTTGCCGTTATTGTCATCAATCGAGACGGTCCTCGGAAGTTTGCCGTTCTAGGTCTACGGACGAGGTTATCTGGCAGTGTAATTCACTTTTGACTTGTGGACTTTTCGTACTATAACTTTCCTGCTGAGCCGCCGTTTGTGCGATGTGGGCAGTACTCGGTCGGAGTTTGTCATCGCTAGTAGCTTTCATGCTTCCAGATGATCTTATGAGCCTTTTATTGCTATCAACGCTAGGACGAGTCAGCGTTTGTGAATCAGAGGAAAGCACCGCACTGAGGGAGTCAGTCATTGTTGAACAACATAGTTCCTCTCTTGCAGAAGACCGCACCGGTATTGTTAGGTAGTATAAATCTCAAGCTAGACTACAATGTATTTTCTCGAACATGGACGCTTTTGACAAAACCAAGGTACACCCAATGCGCCATACTTCTCACCCTGTCAACCTCCAAATGAGGCAAAGGCATTCTAATACAGACTAACGGTTGTCTCGCAGTTTATTGTACTTTTAGTTCCGAGACCACCGAACGATCTATACACGTAGGGGGTTCAATACCACACCAACGGCGACTCAACTCCTAAAAAATAATTCTTCTCACACGAGGGAGAGTGGGTGGTCGTCGATTCGTTTCGACTTGCTGCCCGGCTCCCTCCTTCCTGCTATAGCTATCCTCCGCCCTCCTGCACTTTGCACAACATCTCCGTTCGGGTAATCCACAAACGGTCCAAATCGATATCGATTTGATAGCCATGAACATGACTCGAACTGTCCCGCCTGAAAGCAGTAAATCCTGGAAACGGTGAAGGACGAGTGAACCCGTATTCGGGACTTTTTGATCCACTAAAACTGGCGAAAGACTGATAATATCGAACAACAGTCTCGCCCCGGGCGACTCACCCTTCTCGGTATCATGCATATCAGGCTGATGTATGACCTAAATGGTACATTTAGGTCCCCCACATTTTTCCCATACGTTTAGGACATAATGGTTCCTGAATGGTCCAGGAATGGCTGATATTATCAGCCATTTCTGTACCATTTCCTCCTGGGTCAGAATCAAACATAAACAATCTTCACTTTCTCCCGAGGTATGCAGCCAATTTGAGCCCCTTTGACCACTATGAAAGAGATGACTGTCCGACGTTTGAGCAGTATCATCCCAAGAGGAGGAAATCCTGTCATCATCACCATAGTCAACTTCTTCGTTACCGTACATACCAACACGACTCTGTTGATAATCTCAGGAGAGAGATGAAAAAAAACTTAACTTAATCACTTTTGGGACTTCGCCCTGAACTACTTCAACCGTTTCATGATGAACAACGAAGTACCAAAATCTCAAGACAGCAAGATTGTTCTAGGGAGCGAATGATAATCTAACAACTGCAAGTCTATGCGACACTTTCTCTATCACGTTTTGTTTTGCTATTCACCCACATCTCCCCATCGACCAGCATTTATATTTCCCCGCACTGATAGTCAACACAATCCCATCACATATCGAGCACCAGGGATGTCATTATCATGATATTCAGTCTTCCGCCTCCTCATCTTCGTCATCAGGATTCTCACCAGCCTCGTCTTCCATCACATCTCCCTCATCCGCTGTATTCTCTCCCTGACTTCCACCCTCCTCACCATGCTCCGGCTGCCCTGCGCCCCCCATGGCCTTTGCTCGCAACTCACTCAGTGCATAAATCTCCTACGACGACTAAACTAGACGTTATAGTAACCAAGAGCAACCCCACCGAAGGGCCGGGCTTGGCCTTAATCTCTCGTGCCACACGAGCCAGCTCCGCCTCAAGTCGATCGATAAGAGGAAAGGCCACCTGTCACGATTCAGTGTCATCGACGGACCACCTGTCCTCTGAACCTTCTCAGAAGAACGTTTGAGCTCCTCCCAGGCATCATCCAAATTCTTCTCCAACGTCTCCGATCGTTCATCAATTATTGGCATCATATCCTCCATATAGAGTAAATATCTAACGACCCGACTGGAAGCCTATAGCGATGGCGAATCCTTCAACCCTATTTCCATCATCATCACCACAACAATTAAAATTTCTATTGCGCATCATCTAAGCATAGGTCGACTCTAGAGGCCCCTTAACTGACGTGAAGTATAAGACGGCCGAGCCCACCCTGAGCCTGGCACTCTCCTGCATCGCACTGATCCGGAAGACGCGATGACCAGTCCGGTAGTATTCGGACGATTACTAAGCTAAGGCCATCATGGTCGCCAGCTTCCCTTCAGCGTATCTCCTCTCTCCAATTTGGCTCATCTCAGTATCAACCTCCGACACGCCAGTCGCCAACTAAGGCAAGGAAGGCAGCCTCATTATTGTGAGAGGACTCAGCAACACACCCCCTTCTTTGATGCATCGCGATCCCGACCGGGTTCGCCAGTTCGTTCCCTCGGTGGCTCATCACTCTCCTCTCCCGCCGACTCGTCAGCTCTCTCACCTCCGTCATCTTCTTCCTCCACTTCCTCATCGCCCTCACCTTCCCCGTCATAATCTTCATCATCATTAACTGACTTCATCTGAAATGTCCACATAAAAATCCCACAGCAAACAGTAGGCGCCACCTCGAGCAGCGACTCGGGAGCTACCGCGACGAGATCATCTAAGAATAGAAAATCCACTATAACTCATCCTGCCGAGACTAACCTTCAGTGGTGAGCCAAGAGAAGCCCTGATGAGCGGCAGCTGAGTCGTGGAACGCCGTAGAGATCTCGCCGACATCGAACCGGCATTCCGACATGTCATCATTTTGCATTGTGATCTCCACCGACTCCCCCGTAGGCTCGGAGGGATCCCACGGCTGATCCCAAGGAGGATTCGCGAAACCCACTATTGTGGTCTCAGCTACTGCATGGTAATATCGCCTTGATGGATTTGGTATGCCTGACTAGTGAAGCCCTCAAACACCGGGGATAACCCCGAGCTCTTTACAGGTCTTCCCGTCACGATAATCCTGTTGAAGCTTACTGGTGTTGACTATAACTCTTACAAAGCGATCATCAGCCTTGCTGTAGAGTTGAAGGACGCTCCCGTACACACTGGAAGTGCCTGATAGAGCAGCCGATCTTCGCATGACACCATACAAAAAGTAAGATTGATATCGCATGCGGCGAATCCCTCCAAACCAGTCGAGACAGGGAAGATGCACTCGAATGATAAGGAGAGGAAATATCCCAGGCGACCTGGATCGACGAGTGGCGCTGTTTCCCCGAGATAACTGTGACCACTACGAAGGTCACTAGGTGGGAAGAAGTAGTACCCGTGCAAGGAAACGAACTCGAGGTCTCCTATACCAGGAAGTAGGATTCTACCAGGGGACTATTGAGGCACGAGTGATGACCAACATCCGCCTCACCCGCGAGATGGAGCTGCGGCACTCAGTAAAATATAAATCGCCATGAGGTCCAGAAGTATCTAATCGTACAGGGGGACGCTGTAGCGACCTCCTCTCAAGATGACCTCACCAAATGACTGCAAACCCGACCCTTCTGAGGGTGTTGATGCATGGTAACAACAACCTACCCAACCATAGTGAGGACTAAACGCAGAGCTCAGTCGTGATAGACTAGAAAGGCATTATGAACATGAAGTGGGATAATAAAGATGCCATGACTACTACAGCGTGCATAATACTAGTATTACTAACCTCAACCTCAACAATTGAATCTTCTAGACAATACCCGCATACTCATAATAAACTTCACCCTATTGTCACAACTTGTCATCAACTACAACCTATTTTGCATCTTGCATGCTCAACCTCAAGATACTAATTCTATCAACGACAGAACGGCAAGCACTTGCGCTTAGACCGCGGGCCGCCACCTCGTGCCACTCTATCCTTCAACTCCTTTATCTCTTCTCTCAACTTAGTCATCGCCTCATGTGCCGCCTACCAAGGCTACATAGTCGTCAACTACTCCACTACTACCATAATTCTGTCGTCACTACTACCTCTGTCGCAGCTGCCTTCTCCTCGTACACTACCCTTATGGCCTTCTCTCGGCCCTCCACCTCTGCTCGTAGTCGCGCTCGGACCTCCCCATTTTCACCCTCCAGCTGTGCTACCCTCGCGCGCCATTCAGCAACGTTCTTGTCATGATCAGCAGCCATGTCTCGAGTGGTGGTGAAGAGAGCAAGCTCGGCCTCTTTGACGGCAGCCTCGGCCCTCTCAAGCTCGGCTCCAGCTTTCTCCAACTCTTCCTTGAGACGCGCGATTTCGCTGAAGTTAAGGATGAGCAGAAACCACCCAAATCAAAAAAGTACCCAGTCTTTCCAATGAGAGTCTCAGTGAGCGTATCGATCTCATTGTTCTTCGAAGATTCGAAGTCATCCTGAAAAATGACCGCTCCGGGAATCGAACCCACGACCTCACGCAAGCCAGCCACCTTGCCCTCTTGAGCCTCCTTCATCCTCTCCTCCGTACTAACCAGAACATCCTCCAACTCTTCCTTCTCCCTTGTGAGCTCTTCCACTTGCTTCTCGAGCCTCTCAAGTTTACCCTCCCAGCTCTTGTTCGCCTGCGATTCTCTCTTCCTCGCAGTATCTGCCGCACTCTGATGGCAGACAGGAATGCTCCTAATCGTATCAACCATATAGTGCATTGCGATAATTCTACAGGTACATAACGAACGATATCCTACTATCACCTTATACCACGCCTTCCAATCTTTACACTCAAAACTAACATCAAGTTACGGGAATACCATCCGACACTCTTCCACGGCGTGGTGATTACCACACCGCGAGTGCGTAGTGTTGATCATCTCGGTCGAGGTGAACTTGTAGTCACTAATGACAGGCTTATTCCGAAAGCGGAAGACGCCGATATTCGACAAGAAGACAGTTCACTGAGTGATGACCACGGCTTCTACTCGAGTTCCGACGACACTCCATCTATGGTTTCCTATATTCCTATGGAGGATGTAAACGAGCAACTTGCTAATCATAATAGCAATACCCCTGAAGTTGCTGACAATCCACATGCTTTGTCTGGTGATGGTCCTTCCGCTGCTATTGGACCAAGAAATCGTCATCCCCCAGCACGTTTTGTACCGGTGGTGATCCCCGTGAACTTAGTTTCGATAAAGATGGATCCCCCTATCGAGCCTCAGGCTCGAGTGACGAACACATGCAGTTGACCATGTACATACAGTATGTAACATACTTTACCAACTTCAAGTGTTGGTGATACAATGAAAAATTTATGAGGAAATCTTGAGAAGATTTCATTGGTTGCTGTACACTTCTACCCGCATTCGTATTTAAACTCTTATGATCAGCTAAGACAAGCAAACACATGTATATTCCAATGCTGCTCTTTCACACGTAGGACATATTCCATCGCTGGCGACTTTGGTCCTGCGTTGATTCCAGCATGAGGACTCCTCCGACTTACCCCTCACACTATCAGTCATCCTCTCTATCTCACCCTCCTTCCCCTCCAACTGGGCCAGCAGCTCCTCCTCCTTCCTATCCCGTCTAGTCAACTCCTCCTCCAGCTCAGCCACCTTAGCCGTCAGATCCTAACACGAGCCCTCCGCCAACCTTTAAACCCAGAGCCTACCACCAAGGCGGTCTTCTTCAGCGTATCAATACCGACCAGAGCTTCATCTCGTTGACGCCTAGTGAGCTGTTCATCGTGAGAGATGCCTTCGACCTTCTTATCTAACTCAGTCACGAACAGGCCACTTATCTGGATGATCTGAAAAAGGAGTGGTATTGAACAAAACACTAACGGTAACTCCACCTTCTCAGCAGCAACCATGAGCCTCGCCCCCCTCGGTCCTCGAGTATTCATCATTATTTCCTCCAACACCCACTGGAGCTTTTCTATGAGCAGCCTGGCCGATTCCGACATGACCACGTCCAAGTCTTCCGCAGACCATCCCAACACCAACTCTGGCATCACCTCATCAGTGAGTCGCACTGCTACCTCCTCAGCAGAGTTCCGTGCCCTACCACCAACATGACTAAGCCCGCACTCGAATAGATCTACTTCTCGTCATTCAGGGGATAGACCCTCCCCTCTTGAGCCTTAGCATTCTGCATAAGCTCATCGAGGTACTGTTGATAGACCTGGTCACACTCCTCCCCTAAACGGTGCCACACTGTAGGAGCCCGCCACATCGGTCTAGTTCTCACCCATAGCCTTCCTCCTGTACTCGATCTCCACCCTCCTCAACGCAGCGGAGAGTCTCCCATCGACCTCCCGAGTCGCCAAAGGCAGCTCAGCCAGCAACCCATCGACCTTCTCCCCATGAGCCAGGCCCAGAGCTGAAATAAGTCCCTCATTATTATGATACCAGAATTATTACAATCGATCAAAGAGGCGAGCGCTTCGTGCTGAACTTGAATCCATACCGATGGCAGGCTGAAGCCAACCAGAGTAGAGGAGTTAGAGAAATGCTCTGTCAACTGCAGAGGGAAGCCCCACCGTTCGAGCTGATCAATTCAGACGAACTCACCTTTCTGATGTAAACTGCCAAGGCAAACGGGGTGAAGGGAGTACCTCCGCCGCACTTATTGATGGTCACCGCTCTAGAGGCGGCCATGTTCCATATTTTACCACACAGGGCCTGGACTTGGTCGCTGAATTCCTTACGCAGTTTTCCATCAGAAATTGAGTCCAACTTCTGCAAGTCAGCTTCGTTCACAGTAGGTTGGACCTGCAGATTTGCTATGTACCCAACTTCACTCGGGCCCTACTAAAGTGTCACAGTCGACGTCCATAAAGCACTCGAGCATCGCTCTCGATACATCCTTCTTGCCAATGGTCTTCAGAACACTCTCGAGATACTCAGATGAGCTCATAGCCTCGCCGTCTGAGATCATACATGGTCGACCTCAGGCCATTCGGAAATACAATTTTTCAACTATAAATCTGCGAGCTGCGACCACTCTTACATTCGTTCTCCATTTTCAATGCGAAGTCTCTCAAGACCCACAGAAAGGACGTAGAAAGGACCCCCCCCGCCGCCGCTCCACCACACTCCCTATTAAACTCTCTGATCAGCTGATCAGCGTGTTCGCATACAAGCGACAAGCCATTGAACGCCGACTCGTCCAGACCCCCCTAAAGAGGCTCATAACCTCATTCAACAGAACCCCCCCCCCCAACCCACCTTAGAGTTGTATATCAATACGCTACTCATGAGCATAGTCATGGCCATGAGTTTACTATCATGCGCCTTATCCCGGCCGAGACCCTCACAGTCGAGGAATACGACGACCTTATCGTGGAGTTCCTCATCGCAGATGTACATCCAAATGCCTTGGGTACAGCCATTCACGTCGCTGCCCGTTTCGAAGACCACCGAGGGAGGCCGGTTACCGGGCCCATCCTTCTTCTTGCCAAACTTGAGCAGCTTATTCAAAAGCTTATTCTCATTATTCTGCGGGTCGTCACTGGCGTTAGCGGCACCGTTAGGACCTGACGTGGGGGGGAGGGGAATCTCAACACCACGATGGTCTGGAGGACCCACCTTTCACGAGCCTGTTGAGGAGGTAGCTCTTACCAGTTTGCAGCATCCCAACTACTGTTACAACGCTAATTTGCTTGTCGTGACCAAGAGCCTCTAACAGGGCGAGGGCCTCGGGGTCGACCACCAGCTTATCACCATCGAAGGAGACCCTGATAATAGAACTAGAAGTACTCAACTTGAGGCTTTTACAGTTGCACAGCTTTGCCGGGGTTCTTGAATGCCATACTTGTGGTCTTGGTAATGTACGAAGCACGGCGGTAGGCTGTTGGGATGGTCGTAGCAGTCCTCATCACTCGAACCGTAGGAGGACCAACTGATGGTCCCGGAATGAGAGACGGAGAGGAAGAGGGGGAGGAGTTGAACATCGAGAAGGCTGCCGGTACGTCGATAAAGTCGAGGGGAGGGCCCGACATGGGACCAGCAGGATAGAGGGGCATTCCAACTGGCGGAGCAGCGTACCGAACCTGACAATGACTGACTACTATCCCGCTCTGTTGGAGTACTTCACCTGTTCCACTCGAGCCATCGGCTTGCAATCTAGATGGACAAGGCCTATCCTACTACCACCAGCTCGGGGATCATCAGGGGGTATCACAGACATGACCTTAGCTGGTATCCACCGACCTGAGGGGGAGGAGGAGGAGGCACCTGATCGCACCCATGATCGTAGCATAACTCACCTAAAGATTGACTATAATACTCCACTGTTGAACCTTGTGGGAGTTGAGAGGCTTGCACGCACGGACTTATACAACTGCTAGTGTTGCTAGGAGCCATGTTAGGGGTACCAGGTAAAGTACTGGACGCTCCTGTAAGCGAACAAGGATGCCTGAGGACATGCAAATGGACGTAGCCTCACCTTCGTGACGGAGGTGCTCGGATAGCGCTGCTGAGCCGGTTGAAGGGGTAGAGTAGTGGCCAGCAGAGAGCAAATTGGCGACGCGACCAGAGGGGGGCTTAGGGGGAGGGAAGCTGGTGGTCTTCTTGGGGTGATCATCGTAGTGGTAGTAGACAGTAGTGTTAGAGGCCCGTCGGTTGACACTGAGGGGAGTGTGCTCGATCATACTAGTTGACATGAAGAAAGGCAGTGTACGCTGATGATGAGAATATTAAGAGCTTCACTGAACGCAACAGCGACGAGGGCGACACTGGGGGAAAAGTACCTGTCTTGGTATTGCACCAAAATCGACATGTAATACTAGTGGCCACTGCAGGTCACCCGAAAACTGCTGGGTTTGACAGAAGAGCATCGCATCCACTGACAAAGCCTGAGAAAATCTGAGTTCAGGAACAAGGTGAGGATCAGCACCCTAAGACGAGTTTGGGATATGAAATGGATTAGGCCTAGGGGGAGAATCTGAAACGGTCGTCTGGGGTAAGATGCAATAACGCCAAGTGAAGCACTGCCATGATTCGCCCTTTCCAGAGTCGAGACCCGGAAAGCAATTCGTGGTTGGAAGTTCCAACCACGAATTGCGTTCCAACTTGGAACGTTGTATGAACCTGCGAAGGCTGACGACTTCGATGGAATAGTTCTGCCATAGAGTGCGCTGTGAGTCTCGCTCGCCTTGTGGGAAGATTCTTCAATGTAAAAAGCGCGCGCCCTATAATTGGAGACTTGCGTATTTGTGATGCGTACTACGGTTCGTAAAGGTGTATCGGTTCCCTGGGGCATCATTGGTGTTAGTGGTTGAGGATTGGCTCGTGCATCAGCTCGGTTACTTTTCGAGGCATGCTGGATAGCTGTGGAGAGCAAGCCGGGTGCTTTACAACACTACTCGACTTCCTCCAAGGCCGCGGCCGCTGCCGCCGTCGTCACCAAGAGTACAGTTTAGTATCAGACATCTTCTGGACCTCTCCTAAGAGGTCGCTTGTTGGCCGGGACCACCCGCTGAATGGGAAGCAGCTATCGAGGAAACTGCAGTATGTCGTCAAGGCAAGGCCGAATGCTGAGGGTAAGGCTAATGCTCGGCTTCAGAGGTCTAGATTGGGTTAGATGAAAACAGCATCATCACACACTGGGAATAGATGCTGGGGTGTATTTAGCGAGTCATTTCTGCTACAGTGTGATCAGAACTGTTTCGCAAACTTTTTAGGTCAAGTTTCAGTAGTATGATAGCCATCGACAACAGAAGCTTCGCATGGTATATAGTCGTATGCTCAGAACATAAGAAAACGTCGCTTGAAAATTCTCAGCTGGATTCATACTTATATATCATACTTCTCGCGCTCTCTTCGACGGAAACAGCCCGATGATCATGTGGTGATTTGGCGAGCTCCATACCTTGTAAGAGGACGCCTCGTATTATGCCTTTCATCAGATTATGATGACGATATTCAGAGCGTGTCAACTGATGCATCCATGAAATATAGCTGTCGTTCCCGTTCCCAATCGTTCACTCACTCGCCTACCGTATCGGACGAAGTGTCATCGAAAGTGGTGACCTTCAGGGAAGCTGTTGATTTAATTGAGTACGACTCTGCGGATAAGATGGAAGGGCTCGCTAAGCAATCACAGAAGGTTGTCCCTTTGAGAGAGTATGCGCGTAATACCAGACCGGTAAAGCGTTCGGTACGCCGACAGTACCAAGCCAGAACGACGAGGAGGAGTAGTTCCCTTAAGGGTAACAGACGGAGCCGTCTGGATATGACGACCGTTATGAACAGTATGTTGAGGCCAGCGAACTCCCTCGAGTTGACCGCCTTGAGGAGAGATCGCGCTAGGGTATTGACTGCTATTGAGGAGAAGGTATACGGTGTGGTGAACTAGACACATGATTTTCCGAGCAATTGCTTATTTCAGCTCTGTCAGTACGGTACCTCCGGAAATCAGTAACCGCTCTATAGTCAATTTGTACATCTATTATGTAGTATAATTTACTTATTTGTTGTAGTTTTCCGAGGCGTTCCATTTCTTCCTTGCCATTCGGGCATAGTGCTCATCGGCTTTGTCATGGACTTCGCTTCGATGGTTTTGTTGTTCGTCCCCCATCTTTCTGATGTCAGTCTCTTGAAGTTCACTTCTTCCTAACCTAGCTAGGTTTCTCAACTTCAACAAACTTTTCATTGGGTACGTTGAGTGCCGCTTCATTCGGGCAGCGTTACACGGAGCTGAGCTAGGTGATTCTGCGTCGTATGTGATGCCAACTTTGGTTCCTGCGGGTTACCGATCGATGTGTTTTCTCGTTGGCTCGAAGTCCATCGCATCGTGGACGCTGCCAGAAATGTCTGTAACTAGGTGCTGGGAAGTTGTGATGGTCATAGTTGTGTATATATCCCTACCCCATCGAGTATTACCAGACTGGGTAATTCCTTTGCCTTTGAGTCTTTTCGGCTTCTCCTTCCCATTCAATTGAGTTGAGTCCTTAACCAGTGTTGTCGAATAATCAATTACCGGGTGATAATATGATAAGTGTTATAAGCCTAGTTTAATGCCCCATGGAAGTTATCTCAAGATGGCATAGCTGCCCCAAGGGATGTGCCATGGGATGCCATCGATGGGATATGCCTCAGTACAATCGAGTTATTCTGATGGGGCGGCTATGCCATCCGTAACATGTCCGAGTACAACGAGTTTCTTTTAGTGGGGCAGCTACGCCTTTCGAAATATAGCCGAGTACAATAGGTTTCCTTGGGTGAGGCAGCTATGCCATTCGAAATATACCCGAGTACAACGAGTTTCTTTTAGTGGGGCAGCTATGCCATCCGAAATATACCCGGGTATAACGAGTTTCTTTTAGTGGGGCAGCTATGCCGTCCGAAATATGCCCGAGAACGATGAGTTCCTTTTGGTGGGGCAGCTATGCCAGTGGAACAAAGCCATCCCAAGATACAGTACCATCATTGTTCCCCTCAGCACATGGATGTGCACCTCCATGGGCTGGTATATTCGTTTATACCCCATCAAAGGGAGGATATGCTCCGTCCTATAGTACGACATCAGCATAGTGACGGGGATTGGATGAGGTAGTATGGAAGGCATCAATGAGAGTCTTCAACACCATTAAGGGAATCTCAATCCGGCTAGGTCGCTCTCGGCCTCATTGAATTATTTGGCAACTCGGTATAAAGACCCTTCAAGTGATTGACGGGGAAACCCCTTTATGAATAAACGATATTTGTCGAGACAGATCAGCTCGCGTGAACTTATCATTATATGGAGCCTGCGTGACGTTCTTTGATATTGTGTAGTGTCGAAGCGTTGCACGAGTTGCGTTGTTCTTCTATGCTCGTTCTTAGTAATGGTCCTGCACGTTCTCGTGCCTTACAGCTCACTCTGTGTTTTGATGTGTTTGTGAGTTATTACTACCGTATCGCGTTAGAGATGGGTATCTGGACATGCACGTCGATGCGGGAGAGTCTGGGAAAGTTTATCAGTTCGAGACGGCTCCAATTCTGTGTTGGAGACAGTCTCGAAGGAGACGGCATCGAATCGTGTAGCCTTTTCAGCGACGTGAGTTGCATCTTTCGATCGGCTAGCTATTCCATGTAGTTCTGTCCTTATGACATCTGCTGTTGATAAATCTTCTAGCACGATGGAGGAAACGCCTGTTGCGAAGGAGGCCGCTATCAAAAAGACAGCCTCTCAGAACGGCCACACTGATGAGCGTAACAGCGGTGAGAGTGGCAGTCGACGTAGCTACACGCCAGGCTGTTTCGATATACTGTTTGGTCCGAAGGGGATAGGAGCCGAGAAAGCTAAGGACGCCCAGGGTCATGAACATACTAGGGAGGAAGTGAACAGGAGACTTCGGTGGAGTAAGCTGATAGTATTTCTCTATGGCTGTTCATGTGTTTACTTTCTCAGAGGGGCGAGCTCATTTCCCATCTGCTGATGTTAATGCTATTAGAAAACCCAAAGTTGGATCGAAAACTGAACTCCGAAGTCAATCAATGCAGGCCGCACCTCTAGTGCATTTCCAAGAATCGGTATCGTACTGTTCATTCGGGAGTGAAAGCCCTCCTGAACAGGTCGCACATCAGTGTAAAAATCGTACAGAGGTTCTAGTTGATCGTCCTCATTTCCATCGTTTGCCTAGCGCTCAAAATGCTCCTAAGGGTATTATTGCTTCTCTGGGCGCCCATCATGTCAATGCATCGTAGTAGTAGTAGAGCTGAGTAAGTGCGATAACAAAGCGCCTTCAGCTTGAATACAACCTTTCAGTGCTGGTATCCTTATTAATGTGGTCAGTCGTCTACCAACGTATGCTGGTTTATACCATTATCAAATATCGTCTTTCCCTTGATAATATCGAGAATGACTACTACCATCTCTCACTCATATGCTGAAGTGTCGTGTTGGGGAAGACATTTCGTATCTTTGTGTTGGAGCTGTCCCCGCCTTTGTGACGTTAGCCAATCCCCCTCAACCAGAGCATTTCGGTTAATTCCTTTTTCGGATCCAAGAAGCTATCGTAAGTACTGCAAATTTTCAGTTATTTGAATATCACTCAAGTTAATGTTTTCACGTATATTAGGATGTTTCAGACCGGCTGTATGGGGATGGTAAGTCTAGCTTTCTTTCCTGGTCGAACTGTTCACATCTTCATCACTTCAGTTGCACAGCCGTCCCCGATAAGCCCATCCGTGCGAGCAGTTACCGGATGAGCAGAGGCCGTTCAGCCGGTAGGTCAGTCGCCCCTAAGAGGAGCATTTTGAAGAAGGAACAACTTCCACCAGAGCCGGACTCGATAATTCTCAATGAGAATCAGCTCACTATCGGTGAGTTGAGGCTAGCGTGAGCTTAGGCGCAGTTTGACGGTTTTTGTATCAGGTTCACTGCAGTTGGGAGGGTCGACTAAGAAGCATTCTCCCTCGTCAGTATCCCTATGCTCAACAGCGGCGTCAATATACGGTGAAGTTTACGAGGAGATGGATGATGACCTTCGCCCTCGAGGCGCTAGTGTTCACTTCCGCCCACAACAAGTCGAGTATACCTTCGATGATGAGCGCCTCCTTTCAGTGTCTCTGGGAAGAACTGCTGACTATGATGGAGCTCCCAACGAAAAACGCGCGGAGAAGTTGGCTGAGCAGACAGCTACAAAAGCTGTAGCCCGAGGAGTATATGCTTTTTAAGTTACAACATTGTTATGCATATGCATAATCGTCCCTTACCAGTACTATGACGATGATAATTGATGGAAAGCTGAACTGCTCGAAAAACGTCTAGTGCATTGCACTGTATTGCTTACTTAGTTTAGTATTCCCCAGTGACCGTACGGCTCCTACAATATTGTAGCATTGCTCTACCTAGTAGTAGTGATGTTGGTATTATTATTATGTCGATTGCCTATCCTTCTCATGCTTGAGTAAGCTACTACTGCTTACTCATCCTGGTACTATCCTTATTGGGGTAGTGGTCATGTGTATTCAGTCTGTATTCAGAGTGTTCATCACCAAGCAGAGTAGCTCAGCATTCCATGTCTCATAGTGGTTTACTTACCACTTAGGGCATGGTTTGTTTAATGCTCTATGTTGCTCATCCTGCTCCTGATGCTGTTATTACCGATTCAAAGGCTTTCTGTCTTCCACAAGGAAGTTGAGCCGACTGGGGACCTATTCTTAGCTACTACCCATGGTAGATAGTGAGTAGCTTCTTATTGGTTGTTGCCTCTGAGGACTGTTATAAAATCATGAATATTTTTTTTGTTATTTCAGCCTAAGTACTTGCCGTCTATAAACAACTGATTATCCTTCGGTGTTTGCTAGACGGAGCGAAGCTGATTGGGTTGATCTCGTTCATCATTGAATGTCGCTTTTCTAATATTCACAGTCACTCACAAGGTGCGTGTTCGTATCGCTTCTTCTTCTTCTCGAAAGTCACCATTCACACCACGAGATTGTTACATTGTAGTATAAGTAGTCTCTGAAGGCTATCGCTGGGTTCTGTAGTGACCCTAACAATATGCTACAATCTCATCACCACGGATCCACCGCTTTTATCACTCATTCACTATTACTATTTACTTGCCATAGTATTCAGTTTTCATAATTGCACCCGATCGTAGTTCTCGACGTCTTATATGATTCATCCGAGATTCGTTTGTCGGTAAAATTGAATATTGTCACGGTATGAGATATGTCTGTAGTAGTAGTAGTAATCCCAATCTTGTATTCTGTCCTAATATAATAGCAGTTGATCTCCGTGTCACCACTGCTGATTCTCTGTGCTTTTTGTAGTACTTCCAATCTGTCGTCCTGGAGTGGTAGGCGTAGGTGTTTTTGAAACCATGACGTTTCAGAGACGTCTTGTCGTCTATTCCTTCTTACTCTATGCTAGCGTCCTTTTTGTGACGCGCGGTAATGAGTGGACAATAGTATCTATATTATGGTCATATTATTATTATTATTATTATTCTCATCTATCTCGAGGTCACTCGGGTTTTCCAAGCCTCCCCAAATAATCTCTGCTTACTTCTACTATTGGAAACCTTCTCTTCCTAGTGAAGGGATTGGCAACCGAATACTAATAGTGAATAGTATTGTATCGTCCGACCGTGGCAACAGGCGTTGCTGTGTGGACTCTTATCACCCTCTTGGGAGGAGTCGATGGGACTCGTATTCCCTTCTTAGCACAGCACCATTATGATGATGAGAAAGACGTTGAAGTTTATATGAGCGGTGTCGTAGTGTTAGTCTCCGCGTAGTGACTGTTCAACTTCTTCGAGAGGTTCTTATAAGTCATACTGTCTTGAGTTTAGTTCAACGCAGACCTTTGCATGCGTGTAATACCACTCCTCGCGCAAATCAGGTTGGCTCCACTAGCCGTAACATACTGGCTGTATGGTAAGGTGAGGCTTACCGATGAGGCTTGTCATTCAGGCGACGCGAACGCCACTCACAGGTTGGCTGATGTGTTCCGCTGCTGGAAATCAATTTTATCCATGTCTTCATTGTTCGCACCATTAGCAACGCTGGGGTATTGAGTTGATACTGGGTTATTCGAGAAGGGAACACAGTACGCGCAATCCTTGTCAGATCGTTTTTTCTTCAAGTACATTTTGAGCTAAAATCTTCACCTAACATCTTAAATATACCTCTCATACTGAAATCCAAGTCGCGCACTTCAAACTCGGAAAATTGTTCAGCCCTATCTTCGATTCCCTGCGCGCATCTACTGCGGCATCTCTGTGGACAGCAAGAATCAGAGCAAGACGTACTTATTAACTACATCCCTTCAGCAATCATAGAGAGAGAAACTGGTAACTATAAAACGCTGCTGTGACTTCATTAAATCGAAGGCGATCATATCTGCCACTTGTGTTTGCTCTAGCCGGCACTGCAGGCGCTGGCCCCCGATTTTCGACAAGACTTCCTTAGGTCTTCAATCACTTGCATGGTAAGGCCCTCAGCTGACAAGGGTGAACCGTCCTCGGCTGACGGTTCACCCTTTCTTAGAAACCAGCAGTAGACTTGGCAGAGTTTGTAACTCTCATCGCCTTGGCAATCGACCGGTACGCGGCATCGATAGGAGCCAGTTCAGGATGAAACTCGACCCCATAAATAACCCGATCACCCCGTGCCACAGCCTGCTCCTGGAGGAGAGTCTGCTGGCTATCATCGTCAATAGTGCGAAGAGAGGGATAGACTCCCGCGAGCTCGTCATACAACCGTTCACGATCAGCCACCTCGTGGCTGAAAGGGAAGATGTGAACCGTTCACTCGGTTGGAGATGTTGTTCACTTCGTTACGGAGAATCCTAGTCGATGAAGCCATCCCGAGACAGGGCGCCCTGAGTACTGGTCTGACCTATCCAGCTGCAAGTCCTGATTTAGTGGGTAAATTTTACCCATTCCGTAAGAGATGCAACCGTTTTACCGTCCCTACAAATTGAGGGACTGCACACGCTCTCGGACCCTGTCCCGAAAGTCCTCGAACTCACTGTCGAAGATGGGCTCGCGCACCAGCTTTCTTGTAGCCTTAGTTGCTGTTGGGAAACCGAGGATTCCTTCTGGGCAGTAACACCGACTTGACCTTAGGTCTGGGTGCGTCATTACGGTTGGATGCTCGTTTTTGGTACGGGGACTCGGCTGAAAACGGGTATTGTAGTTGTGGACATGGTTACTTCTATCAACAGCGATAGACGCTGATTCGGTCTTCAACCGCATGGAACTACGCCCAGTACCAAACTTTAACTTAAACTTATGATAGTTGCTGAAATTGTGCTCGGCGTCGGACCCGCTACCGCCAACAGTACCAGCAGAGCTCTGAGAGGAGGATAGGAAATCGTCGATGGGGTGGCTGCGGTAGATGGGCATAACTATGGCTGATAGGCTGTATATACATCCAGTGACCGGATACTCAGCTTGTGTGATTCAGGGGTACTTCAGAGATGTTCCATAGGGTGATTCAATACTTTGCGCGCGAAATACTGCCGTAGTAGACGCGCGCAGGGAATCGAAAATGAGGCTGAAAATTTTCTTAGAGTTTCAAGTGCGCGACTTGGATTCCAGTATAAGAGGTATATGTAGGGTGTTTGGTGAAGAAATTAGCTCAAAATTCGATGAAAAACGATCTGCCAAGGATTGCGCGTCTCAGATGGCGTGTACTATTCCTTTTTTCATCTCGAGGTAGAAAGCGGTGTGAAGAATGATGTTTTTTCGGTCGAACGGACAATGGCGATGAATTTCCGACAGGCCACAAATGAATTAAAGTTTGTACATGTATGAATGAATATAAGATCAACGCGGCACACCGGGAGTGAATGAGGAAAGAAACAACAACGCAATCATACAGGAATCTTACTGGACACTATCACCGTGCTTGTCGAGTAAATACAAAGGAGCTAGTATCTGCAATAAAAGGTCATTTCACCGAGGAGTGGTATGAGAAAATTACATTGGCCTTGTTGGTCTCCGCTATGCAGCCGTTGGCTAACATCTCGTCCAGGATGAAATGAGCCTTCTCCATGTTGAACATAATATCAAGTTCGCATACGTTCTCGAAATACCTATTCCGAATTTATTCACAGCGAAAACACTAATGCCATGAACTCATCGTCTTTATGAACATATGCAAATTCGACACAGAAGTTGTCCAAATTGAATAGATACACGCGATAGGAAAAGTCCTATGCGAAGAGGAATGACATGAAGATTCACAAGTTGTTGAAAAGATGGTATGACGAGGAAACACCATCCTATTTGGCAGAGGTTATCTCGCCCTGTGGACAAAACTCATTGGCATGGAGAAAGTAGACGATTTAAGAGGCTAAAACTGATCCCTCGTGAGGTTATGTGCATCGATGCGAATCTAAGCCGTGTTGTCGTAGTAGTAGGCGTTGGACTTGAAACTCTCACACACTATTTCAAAGAGTGTGAATCCACCGTAGTCTACTCCACCCCTCATTACTTATCTAAGGTCTCTACTAGTGTATGTATGAACTCTAAATAGGCCAGCTCGTTGTCTTCATCTGAGCCGTCAACTCCCATGATGAAGTAAAGGGATGCATATCGACGGTAAATCACCTGCTAGGGCGGAATAGGAGTACGTCTCCCGCCTCCAACACTACTACCTTGTAACTACGATATTCCAAAAAACTACACTGATTCTCACTCCTCGACAAACACTTCCGAATGAGCTCATTCTCGATGGCCTGTCGCTCCCTGAATAAACACCATGGCGGCATTTTCTTTCCCTGCAAAATCGTCTTTACTTTATCGTTAGAAAATTCGCGTACTTGGCGAGACGCGTTTGCCCCTGCTTATTAACCATCAAAATGAATTTAATCATTTTCAAAGAAGGAGATGCAACCTTCAACTTGTAGTGTACGAGTTTCAAAAACTGAAAGCATTTCTCGCTACGCTCCGCCACTCCGTATATATCTCGCTCGCCGTTAATTATTCCCATCACCTGCGGGGACCAACTTGGTATTGAACTCCATCGAATCAATAGACCTGTCTTGAGCTTCAAGAGCATTCCTAGGCAGTGCGGGAATATATGCACATGGTCAACTATATGTGTTGCTAGCCATATGGAAATTTGAGGAAATTTGCGAAATTATCGTTGATTTTATACTCTTCTTTGGGAGCGGACATAGTTAACTCAAGTAGTTTAGGATGAGAGATACTTTTTTTTCTTAGTCATGCTTCTGAATTGATGAGTGATATATCAAAACTGTCGGGCGGGCGAGGTTGATGAATCTTCGAGTACATGGTTGAGTACACTCCGGCCCTCAAATGATGCTACTTGTTTGCATAGACAGGATATAAGAGTAAACAAATGATATACACTTGAATGAATGAGTTACTGAAGCCAGTATAATAGGACGGACTCAAGAGCGACTTCAGTGAGTCATAGTTGAGTTACACACTTACAGTTTATGTTGGCACAGTAAAAACTCCTATCGTCCTGAGCATAATAATCGTGAGTTTCTTTACTCACTTCCGTCCAGATAGAACATCCGTCGCACTGGACCCATAGTCCTGTGCTAGCCGTAGGGGACAGCATAGAACGTTGCAGTACCATCTTACCATTAGAATCAGTTGCCGTGAAATAGCGAGGGCATGATGAGATGGTGGACGTCACCCGTGGTTGCGGAGAACTGGTGTTGACCTTAGACGTCTGCCCTTCGTTTCTATAGTACTCTGCCAGTTGTCCCTCTGTCAGCGATGCAGGCTTGATGAGAGTGTTGTGGACAGTTCCCAGTGGGTCGCCATGCAGGCTTTCAATACGTACCAAATGTCTTGAGGATGTCGGAGACTGAGATGCTGAAATGCGGGCAGGTCCGACCCATCTTGCCATGAGCTTCGTACCACAGACCTTCTTCAGCCATATGATAGTGCCAGGTGCAAGCGAACAACTTCGACGACGTTTGCTGCGCTCAGCGATTTTAATAGAATGGCCTCGTACAAGTCGCTTGAGGTACTCTCGATAGGACGCGACTAGCTTCCCAAACTCTTCCTTCTTCTGAGTCAATGTGTCGCCGTAGTCAGGGGGGTCACAATGGCCTGCTACGAACCTCGCAGCACTTTCTAGTGGTTGCTGCCCCGATACACTAGGTGGTGGTCTTGCCTTGTACGTGAAGGTTAAGCCGTTAGGACACGTATCACCGACTTCGTCAGATTGGGTTGAGTTGAGCGAATGGCATATCATAGGGAGTAGTTGATACCAAGGTACCGTACAACCTCCGCACCGGAAAGACCGTATAGCCTCGAATAGTATCTGATGACACCTCTCGAGGAAGGCTCTTCTCTGAGGAGCATTGGGTGGATCGATCAACTGCTTCAATCCCATCGACTGACAGAATGACGTGAATCCACGACCGATGAAGCTCTTGTCGCCATCTGACTGACAGTAGAAGGGCCATCCAAAATGCCAGCAATGTGCAGAAAACAGCCGTATGGACTCTGCTGAACTCTTGTTGCGACTCGGATAGAACATGGAGAACCGCCGAAATGGATCATATACATGTAGGCAGTACTTGATGTTCTCGTCGGGGTATAGGATTAACCACTCCTTGTAACGCAAGTGTAGGGCCTTGGTGGGCTTACACAAACCTTTTCTAGCAATATCACTCCATTGTCATGCGTTTCATCTATAACTCGCTCGCCCGAACGGGACGACACAGACAATGGTAGTGATTAATTAATACGGGATCTAACACGCCCCCCCTCCTAACGATGGAGGACCATCGGGGACCGACTATAAACATATGATGAATAGGCAAACGGATATGTTAGAGTCCTAGTTGAGCCCTTCATCCGGGGGACAGGGTTGTCCATGGTTTACCAACCAGTCTTCTTCAAATAACGTCACCCATTCTTGCTCACCCGTATCCCACCGAAGCAGAACGTCGTCTTGACCAATCCAATCGATAATACGGGCTGTGAACCATTGAAAGCCCGTTTCGTCGTCTGAAACGATTGGAACTTTCACAAAAACCGGCATACCCAGCAGCGAAGGACCCGGTCGACGGCACTCGGTGAAATCCCCGCGATCACGATGTAGAAGTACTATATTACGAATATTCTCGTTGGAGTAGACACCATGAGGGAGGCGCACCCGCACTCGGTTTGTGCTTAGCCTGGACTCGATATGTGCCAACGTGAACGGGCACGACAGCTTGCGCCGGGAGCCCGCATACACCAATACAGGCGCCCCCTTGTCCAACCTATAGTCAGCCTCTCCACGGTCCTTCGATATGGGACTCACTTTGATGTTGCGCTTCTTCACTGCACTCCACATATGGCTCAAGTAAGTATTACGCACCTTCCGATACGTAGAGAATGGCAGCCATGGTGTGACCGTGCGGACGCGAGCACATGCCGCTACGACATCTAATCGGCTGTGACCCAGAGCGAGAAAGTCGGCGGTGACGGGAATCTCAGTTGCCCCCGATAAGATAAAAGTCCCCAATGGTAGATTATTATGCACTAGGGTGATCTCGTCGTATAAATCCTGCCGTTCCATGGCCGAGAGCTTAGCAATTCGACCGTCGTCGTGCCTCAAGAGATGCCTCAGGTAGTCGAGACATGTCCGATGATGTCGCTCGTGGGAACCACTCCATGGAGCATAACGATCCAGAAGCCGTACCTCGCAGTGAGCCTCTGATAAGACAGCTGCCTGGAAGACACCCGATTTGAAATAACTCGCCGAATCCGCATACAGAACCCTCATGGAACCCACTGTACGCTGGGCTCGCTTTATTCCCACTAATATTTCGGCCATCGTAGTCGCTTCAAGGTGTTTCCAGACAATATGCCTTGTGCTTCGACACTGAATAGTCAGGACATGCACGTGCTCTCCCAATGATAGCACGTCCATGGTACTGTATCCATAAGGTCCACAAGAGAATATCTCCTCTGGTAGTTCACTGCCAAAGCCGAGAGGAAACTTCCAAGATCGCGCCGACTGCAGTATCCTGCAGGCAAGGCAGCGATTAATGATGTTCTTCGCGAGGGCTGTCACTGCGTCGAGATGGTATAGACGTACCGATGAACAAGTCATAACCAGTCCAGAGTGCAGCGTCTCCCGATGAGCAGAGGATACAATTTTATCCCGGAAGAACACAGCCGCCTTTGGGATCACCGGTTGCAGAATGCATTCTCCACTAGGTAACCCAGAACGATAACACACCACAGGCGGGGCCCCTTCGGGTCCGTAGATCTGTAGCGGATTAGCCGTCGGAATCGCTGGGGGAGGGCATTCGACGAGCGACGACCCATATTGTGCCGAGTGAGCTGCCGCGAAGATAGCGGGCTCATCCCAGTGCCGATGAAAATCATAACCAATCGTCCCAGCTTCTGCACAACGGGCA